TGTGCTGCCTGTGTGTGCATGTGTGCTGCCTGTGTGTGCTGCTTGTGTGCATGAGTGCTGCCTCTTTGTGCTGCCTGTGTGCATGTGTGCTGCCTATGTGTGCTGCTGTGTGCATGTGCGCTGCCTCTTTGTGCTGCCTGTGTGCATTTGTGCTGCCTGTGTGCAGTGTGCTGCTTGTGTGTGCATGTGTGCTGCCTGTGTGTGCTGCTTGTGTGCATGTGTGCTTCCTCTTTGTGCTGCCTGTGTGCATGAGTGCTGCCTGTGTGTGCCGCTGTGTGCATGTGTGCTGCCTGTGTGCTGCCTGTGTGCATGTGTGCTGCCTGTGTGCATGTGTGCTGCCTGTGTGTGCTGCTTGTGTGTGCATGTGTGCTGCCTCTTTGTGCTGCCTGTGGGCATGTGCGCTGCCTCTTTGTGCTGCCTGTGTGCATGTGTGCTGCCTACGTGTGCTGCTGTGTGCATGTGCATTGCCTCTTTGGGCTGCCTGTGTGTGCATGTGTGTTGCCTGTGTGTGCTGCTTGTGTGCTGCTTGTGTGTGCATGTGCGTTGCCTCTTTGTGCTGCCTGAGTGCATGTGTGCTGCCTGTGTGTGCTGCTTGTGTGTGCATGTGTGCTTCCCTTGTGTGGGAGGGTAGCAATGGTAATTTAGAAGTGACACAGTAGCAGTTCAATCACTCATCCACTCATTCAACAATACTAAGCACCCATTAGATGACAGGTACTGTTTTACGTGTCAGGACAGAAAATCAGAAAATAAAAAAAAAAATTCTAAAACTTCCTTTATGAGTTTGTACTCTGTTCTGCAGAGTAGCAGAAAGTAAAGAAATGCAGTACATTGAACAGTGAGAAGTGCCAAGGACAGGAAGAGCAAAGTGGGGAGAGGAAAGAAGTCCGCAGAGGGCTAAATTTTGGACAGGATGGTCAAGAAGTTCCCAGGAGGAAGGCGTCATACCTGTGAGACCCTGCAGGCAGAAAAGGACCGCAAGTACCAAGGCCTTTGTGCCAGAAAGGGAGTATGGTGGGGCAGAGGAGGGAGCAGATGGGAAGCCAGCAAGATAAATAACCTGGTTTTGTTTTCTTTAACACCAGTTTTATTAAGGCCTAATTCACATCACTACAATTCATCCTTTGTAGTTCTGCCATTCTATATATTGATGAAGGCACCCACCACCCTAATCAAGATGCACAACAGCCTCATGCCCCCAGCCCTCTGAGCCCGTGGCCAGTCAGTCCTCAGCCCTGCTCCCAGCCCTGTGGTTGCTCGTGTGTTTGTGTCTCGCAGTTCTGCATCCTTCAGAACATCAGGTGAGCAGCGCGCATCTCACTCTGCAGGGTGTTTGAGACTCCTGATAATGCTGGCACTGCTGTTTTTTTCCTTCATTGCCAAATATTATTTCAGTGCGACAATGTGTTGGTTTGTCCACTCATCTCCAGTTGATGGACACATGAGCTGTTTACAGTTCAGGGCAATTGTGAACAAAGCCATAAACATCTGCATGCAGGCTTCCAT